AATCTCTATATCCAGTGGATTCTCACCGCTGAGATGAAATACTCTCATGGCTCTACTTGTAGTGGAGTAACTGAGAATTGTGCAGCTGTATTATTCAAAAAACTTGCCAAAGAAATAGAGCAAGAACAATAAAGCTAAGCTAAAAGAAAAGATTCTTAGACTGAAGAGAAGAAAATGACCTGTTTCTTATGGTCCTGTATAAAGACTGCAAATAGGTTGTGTCCCTATTGCTTGTGTATTAAGCTGCAGGTATTAGTGTATAATAACTGCTAGCCAAAAACGGACAGGGAATGCTATGAGAATACATATTTAATCTGGTTAAGAAATTTGCCACACTGTGAACTGTAAATCTTACTCAATAAGGAACTTCTATGCCTTGTAAGTCCCGTAAACACTTAGTAGGCATATCTGATTATGGTGTTTTCTCTTTGAATCCTTGACTATACTAGTTAAGAAAAATACGAAAACATATTTTGTGAAAAAGATACTTGGAAGAAATATAATTTCACATTATTATGAAAAATCAATTTCGGACACTTGCTATCCCTTGGATTCCTGGTCAAGTAATGATCACCAGCCACTAGGCAAGAAATTCAAAACACAATAAGCAGAAAAGTTCGAACCATGGTAGATCAGGCTCAGATGCAAGTAGGCAGTGGGGCTAATGGAAGAGCATAAAAATGTCAGAGTCTTCAGGAAATGTCAATATAGATGATTCTATTAAAATGCGGTGACTGGTGGTTGTCTTTAAGACAACTGGGGTGATGTCCATTATACTTCGTGAAGAAAATAAGCTGGGGCTTTTTCTCACCAGTCTGAAGAAAACCTTCCCAAACATACTAAACTAAAACCAAAATCTTGAGCCTGTATAAAGTGGAAAAACCATGCAGAATTGAAAGTCAAACCAGTACATGTACGTGTCAGCAGTTATGGAACATGTACAGTTTAGTGAATGCAATTTTTTTTGCAGGCATGGAAAATTTATACTGTCCTCTTACTTGTATCAGGCAGTGTCACCTTTCATGCCTTTTAGAAATGAACAGGATACTATGAAGTCCAATTTATGCATAACTTCCTTTGCTTCAGTCTTGCTCCCGATAAGCTTGCAAGTACATATTAAGGACCTCGACAAAAGTCTACAGACTACAATTAGCATCCTACTGGTACCTTAGGGAAACAGAATTTCTGTGAGTTTTAAATGCAATTTTAATTCAACACAGTAAGTAAACCAAACAAAGTTTGTGCCCCTTGACAGGCTGCTCCAAAGCCACCCATATGTGACTGAGACTGTCATATAGTAATTATCTATTATCAGAATATGACCAGCATGATGCTTATACACGTGACTGGAACAGGTATTAAGCAAAATCAGGAGGTGGTCAAAAATCTTAAGTATTTCTGGCAAAGAGCAGAATGATTTTGCTGGCAGAGGCCCTTACCCAGCACTGAAAGGTTTATTTGTGGCTTTATAAACAGATAGAGTAACTTTAATCAAAAGTACAATATGATGTCGTCCTATTAGACTCCCTCCTTCCAACCTCTCAAACGAGACAAACCTGTATTCTTCAGATAATTGAGAAATTACATTGCAAAGAAATTTATGACATGGAAAAACAAAAGTTCAACTCACTGTTTTGAAAAAGTTCCAAATGGTAGGTGCTACTCCACTAGCATGAAGGAAAATCTCCCTTCTTTTATCAAGAATCTGTAATGAAAATTTTCTATTTGATATTCTATTATGTTCCTAGCTCAGAAGACAAGACCCTTATTTTATAATTGCATACCAAAGAAACATAAAACCCATTATGGAGGAAACTTTTACACTGTGAATATCTGTCCGTAAGACAGGTATCATCACTTTTCTAAAAAATTGGTAAAGGAGAGAAATCTTCCTGGTAATTGCAAATTTTCTTAGATTTCAGTGGTAGAAAGGGTAGATAAAAGAATTCTCTGGAGTTTTGAAATAAAACACCATCCTTCATGAACAAATCCTTCGTACTCTGCAGTTCACAGGGACAGGATGCTGGTAGAGGCAGCTTGGGAATCCCATGCATCTGACTGTACGCTGGCTTGAAAATCGAGGTCAGGTTGGTGTAATTGCAGTGGTAGCAGCAAACTGCTGATGATGACCCCAGTTCTCCAGATGCACCAGTGTCACAGAAGACTAGTTAACTGAACTACTCAGAATAAATTTCTTAGCCCAGATGGTAAGAAGCAAGTGGAATATTCAGTATCCAGAGATTACCTGGCAAATAAGTTATTACAGAGAACATGACAATGATAATGTAAAATAGCAAAGAAGAGTACCATTCATATTCTTTATGAACACAACATGTGCGCGCACACACGCGCACAAATGCTTCTTAAAGAGGAAAAATTTAATTAAACATTAGCTTGTTTAAGAGAGTATGAGGGCTGTCTTTGTTTTACAGATGTCAGACTTGGTTTGGTATGAGGCAAAAATTCCATGACTGATTATTGCAGAGCTATGAGGCGATCAGAAGAAACAACATGTATATTTGCTTGACTGCAAGAATTCTGGCTAGTACCTTAATGAGTTCACAACTACCAAAAGATTCAGTTTTCTTTCCAAAAAAATTTTTTTTTTAATTTCCTGTTATTTCACTTTTCTGTGAGCTACAATAAAAATCTGGGGTTTTCATTTATCCATGGATCCTTCCATTATTACCTGGACTACACCGTAACTAAGAAAAAAGTCTCTAATATTCATTTTTCTTTAATATAGAACAAATTCAGTTTTAATGTCGCAAGGTCCCAGGATTCCAAGACATAACTAACTGATAGTCTTAAAGGAAACACATCTCTGGAAACAGATGCATCTCGTAAGCACTTATTGCTACGTTTCTTCCTCTGAGAAGTATTTCATTGTAAGCACTAGAAAATTATATGGCCCAGGGGAATAAGGTCATAGCATCTACTTTAGTACACTTCTTAATTATTAACAATTTCATAATTTCATATAATTTAATGATCATTTTCTTGAAGATCATGAGTTAATTATTCATCAGGTACTTAGAATATGTAAGGAGGCACATGTACCTTGCCAATATTTTCTCAGTTATCGTCTGTTGAGATAACTGACAAACCTGTATAAATGGTTTGTCTTATATAGGTATGTCTTCTAAAACATCAGTGTTTTCAGTCCTCTCGTTACTACAGCAGATCTGCTCCTGCATTTGGGCTTATCTCAGACATTCTGTTATTTATCTTCCTTAGTGATAATTTCAATTGATTTATCTGACAATGGAGGCATTTTCATATGTTAATTCACTTATGAATATTAACACTACATCATGCTCTAAGAAAAGAGCTGGAAATAATGAGCTCAGAAGCTGTAAGTAGAGCTTTAAAAATAAAACATTTTCAAAATTTATAAATATCAAATAGTATTTGTGGAAAAATAAATTAGGTTTCCCAAAGAGAAAATGCATTGAACTAATCATCGAGGAAGAAAAGTTTGTGTGTTTGGGTAATTTTTTTCCAGGCTGAAAGTAGCAATAGCTTTATATGTACAATTCAAACTTAAGTTAAAAAAAAAAAAAAAGTTATAATTTAGCCTACATTTGTGCCTGTGAAATACCACAACTTTGGCTAAGTTAGTATAAAATTTATCAGAATCACTCAGACAGGTAGCTAACATCAAACAGGTTCCTTGGTAGTTCCAAAATACAGAAACACCAGTTAACTTTAGCCACCTTTAGTCACAAAAATTCATCGTCTTTAGCATTTCTCGGCCACTCATACTCATTTGTCTTTATCCTTCAATCCACCTTTAAATCCCATTTGGTATCTATGATCACTTTAACTAATATGTCTATAGCCCCAGCAGTTTTTAACTTTGAATTTGTTACTCTTTTTCAAGACACAAAATAGTTTTTCAGTTGAGGAACACACAACTGGAAGGGAACTACAGGATCAGTCCTGCAAATAATGTCAGAGAGAACTACTTTGTTAATTCCTTTACATACCAATCAAGTTCCATCTTGCCACCATTTCAATTGGAAGACTGTTGCTGAACTTCACACCACCAGAGATTAGCCTCTACTTTTCAGCCTAAAATTTATTTACGGTCTACCATTCACTGTATCATCACTGTCCTTGGTCTATTCATAAACATAATTAAATATCCCTTTAACTTTTGCTTTGCTAAGGTCAAAAGGCTATTTTTTTTAATCCTTACTCATGTGGCATTTTCTCAGTGTCTGAATAGTAAACATTTTCTGCACTTCCAGTAATCCAGATTGGATTGCACTAGATCCAGTATAATTATGTTAACATTCTTTCTATTTGGAAATAACCTCTTGATATCTTGTACATTGTTATCTATACATGTATATACACACAGAACCCCCAAATCTACTAATTTGTTTGTAAAACTGTTTTGCAAATTATCTCTTTTCTTAAGAGAGAAGACTAGCAACAGGTTTTAAAACACTAAGAATTAATAACAATTTTATGTCATGCATAAAAATCATTCATCCTTGTGTACATTTTCTTTGAACCTAGTATTTTCTGGGTAAATTGTTAGATTTTTTTAGAGTACTCGAGAGTGACAGGTTCTGTAAGTGGGATAATCTTCAGTCTTTTACTTAAAAGTAACTATATTCATTGCCAAAATGATAAATGGCCATCCATAATACCCTAAAAAAAAATTCAGAATAGAAACACAGAAAGTGAAAGAACAGTGCTAGAGAGTAAATGTAAGAGACTGAGCCACTGAAGTCATCCTGCTAAAAAACCCACTGTCCACAAAACCGAGCAACGCTGTGCCACCAAGCAGTTGTTGTACCGTATAATGAGTGTTTAAAGATTCAATGAAATTACAGCTACTTTTCACTTTGTGGGTTATGTGTTTTTCTCTAGGTGGTTTTTTTGGTGTTTTTTTCAATCAAAAGCAATGTCCAGAAACATTATCAGTACTAAAGAATCTGTTCATGGCATTGTTTTACAAAAGTTCCTAACAGACAGTGAGTATTTTATTGTTGCATGTATCCTTTATTTTATTAATGATGAGAAGTAATCAATGGAATGCTAAAAATAAGTTTGAAAAGAAGTCTAGTCTGAAATCTGAATCTGTTGTTTGAAGCAAGTTCAGTGGTCACGGTAACACCAGTTGAAGATTGACTCTTGCCCATTGTGAAATAGGCATGGCTCTTCTAGAAAGGTCACAAATTTTTTCAAATATAGGCACCATGTTTTAAATTTTGCACATACAAAATATGTTCATGTCACTCAAATTACACAACGTGGCAGTGCTATAAGTCTGAACATTATTGTCAATTAATGGCAAAGAAAGAGCCCAAAGCTCACATAAGACTAATGACTGGGACAAATCCTGAAAAGAGACCAAAAGTATAAAACAACAGTTTTCCTGTTGCATGTGGTTTTGTGTGTGCATGTGTGAGAGTGCATATAACAAAAAATGTTTAAGTTCAGATAATAGCCCATCCATTTCTCAGCTTCTCATCCAGTTTCATTGCTAAAGGCTTTGATTTTAACTGAATGTTAAAATGCAAATTCAAATCCCATATAAACCATTAGTTAAGTGTGTTGACTGGTTTGCACCCATCAAAATTGAGAATTACTGTCGAATGTCTTCCTTTTAATCTACTTGTCAGCCTCTGGGTATGTAGGATACTTGACCGTCTCAATTTTCTCCTTAACTTTATAAGATGGGTACAAGCCTGTTCTTCCTAATTTCCGATTGATGCCTTTTGAATAACCATCCCAGTGGTTTCCAGCTACTCCAATTATATCTCCAGGTTCCATAGGAATTTCATCAGCAGTTCGTGGATGATGAGCATAAATAGCAATCTGGTTGTGGGCATTCTGTCCCCCAAAGTAGTAGATATCATCCAAAGAATGGAAATATGCTGAAGCATCTGGATGCAATGTCTGCATAATTTCATAGGCAACTCGACAAACCTTAGAAATAAAAACAGAAGAGAAGTCATAAATATTGTGTGTGCCTGCAATATACCACAGAATTCAGCAACCAATGTGTAACAATTAAATTTCATGAGAGGATCAACTTTTGTAATGTCCAGGATAAACCATTCCCCTCCCCTTCTCCCCCCTCCCCAAAACACCATCACCAAAAACCACCCACACCACAAACTCAGAAAAAACCTCCCCGCAACTACAACAAAACCAAAAAAAATCAACATATTTACTAACAAGCATATAATTTTGCATGTAATTAGTACTCTAGTAATCAGATTGGGTAAATAAATAAGTAAATAATTAGAACAGTCTATTTTTCAGTAAAAATTGAAAGCATCTGATGAACACTAGCCATCTTGGTTTTTAAAATTATTGATATATAGCCAAAAAATGTAAAAGCAAATGTTTCCCTTTTCTACTCCTAATAAAAACTGTACTTTTACTTCCCTTTGAACCTTTAGAACTTATATTTTCAAAATTTATTCTGCAATAATGAGGCTTTATATTTACTTTTCTAAATGAAGCCCTAATTTCCACAACCAAGCAATTCCAGGAGTCCACATCTTTAAAATGCTGTTAATATTAGAACAGTAATAGAATTATGACTGTTGGCAACTTGGAAGACAACTAAGTGAAATGAATTCCAGCAAGACAATAATGATGTTGGCAAGGAGAAAGGTGTATTTTGAAGTGTCATTGTGTCACATTTTATAGAGGGGATTTTCTTCAGGCTGAAAAGTGGTCCCCCTATCAGAATTGTCTTGCACATCTCAGACTTGCCAAAAACGCAACAGGCTGTCACTATATTAAGCAAAGCTCTTTTCAACAACTGGCTAGAAAGCTCTTCTCTCTCAGGTGCCTGATTTGACCGCTGTGAGCTTTCTGACTTCTAATCTACATTGCTCTATCTTTCTCTGATTTTGCATAAGCTTGATAAACTAACAATACAGCAGACATCTTCAATATGAAGCAGGATTTGAGCTTTTTCATAATTTTCAGTCTATGGAAATACAGTAAAGCTTGATTTTACTTTTCTTTTCTCCATCTGAAGATATGAGGAATAGAACTTTGATCAGTCAAAGTGGACATATTTGTACTTTCCTAGCTTCTTTGAGAGAGAGATTTTCTTTAAAAATATAATAGATTTCCTTTTATCCCTCTCCATCTGATCTTTGAATTAACTTTTCAGAAGTAGCGTTCAGAGTATCAGGCTGAAGTTAATTATTTCAAAGTACTTGTTATACTCCATAGAGTATACAACACAGAAACAAATTTGATCATCCATACGGTAAGAGGTTATTTATTTTATACCTTCTGTGACTGTTTTTGATGTTTTGTTCTCTGCATGTGTGTGTATCCCAGCCACACACACTCCATAAAAGATATTAAAACTTTACGGTAGAAATTATTTTAGTGAGTCTAAGTGTCCTTCCATACCTGACATAAAACACACAACATGTCCTCTCAGCAATTATTTCCTTTATAGCACCACACCTGGGTAACTAGACTGTAAGCTGTTGAGGGCAGTACACAAAGAATCCACACGCAGAGTTAAAGTTAAAGCCAACCTCCCATTTTTTATACAAAGATTCACTGGTTTTGCAGCCTCTATACTTCCACGTACGATGTAAAATATAAAGACTACTAAATCCTGGAAGGAAATGAGATTACAAAGAATGATACATCAAGCAGAGGGAGTTACAATTTGATCTAAATGAAGACTGAAGGGACAAAAAAGCTTTTTGTTTTAATGTGCACTCTTAATTCAGCTACTGTGTTATGATTTGTGTTAACTCCTATTGGGCTTTTCTATTCATCTCAATTAATGCAATGTTGCTGAAATACAGTACCAAGGTAGGTTGTTTCTCTTGACTCCACATCATTTGAAAGGTCTGATTCCTTTAACATCAGTATCGTAATGAAATATCTATTCTTCAGCTTATATCAGTATTTATTTAGTTTTGGTAGCATAAATAAGTATTAATACAGGGGACTTCCTAAAGCACCTGATTCTATTCACATATACTGTAATTTTCTCTTAATACCTCTGTAATGAAGTTTTGACTCTTATTGTCAAGGAAAAGAAAATGGAAAAAAGTCAGCATACAAATTAATGTGAAAGTCCAAAATCACACTGGAGATAAATTTGACTACATTCTTTCTCTTCATACAGATTGGACAAAAGATGGCCATTAAGGCTGATTTTGATTACCTTCAATGTCAAATTCACTACCAAACTGTTTATTTCACTGATGAAAGGGCAGGGATAGCAGTTCAAATGTTAGAGATCAGAGCATCAAATTTTAAACCCATAAAAGAGAAATCTTTCTGAACAGTGGGAAAACTTGCAACAGACCTAAGAAAAACCCAATATATTAAAACACTGTAGAGATCCATGTTGTTGCACGACCACCAAAACTGTTGCTAAATGATTTTTGACGAGTCTGAATTATGAAAGCACAAGAAATTGCCCAGAATAAATTAAGTAGATGGCTGGACCAAATTCACAGCCCCAGCTATTGAGAGTAACAGTCTAACACAGAATTTCCTAAGCTTTAGTAGAATTTTATGCAACTCTAAAACCAAATACATCATCCAGCAAACACATCAGTTGTCAAAGGCAGGTAGACACAGAATGAGACTGGAGGTCAGAGACACCGTGTGCCTCAGAGGTACCCTCAAAAGGGGGCTGTACCAGACAACCTTCAGAGGTCCCGATCAACCCCCGTCACCTTAACTGTGTCAGTGTCTTTTCACATACATTATTCTTCTGAAATTATTCCAACACTTACACTTCAATTACAATATATCCTTTCCAAGCCATTTGTACCTATATTTAAAGATATTTTCTATCTTTATACCCAGTGCTTTATTTAAAGCAAACATTTACCACTTTTAGCAGCTACCTGAATATAGTAATAGCAGAAAATGTTACAGTTCTGTTATTAAGCTTTTACCTAAGACGACAATTATTCTTTCATGATACGAACTGTCACTATTTCAATATATGTCTGGCATTTAAGACATACAGCCCTAGATCTTTGACGACGATCACCTCTTTCACTGTGATATGCAGTGTGTGGACATACCTCAGCTGAATCAAACGTTCTTATAAAAGTATATGGCTCCTCACAAGATTTTCTTAGTGAGCGTTTTTACTTTGGAGTTTATTCGTGTCTTGGTCTGAAGTAACCTCTATTAATAATCTTCTAAATATGCTCTAAAATGTCATTTTCATCACAAGGTTTGGTGAGCAGTCTTAAAAAAACAACCAACAAAAAAACCCAAAAAAACTCCCCATATCCACAAGCATGATTGAGGGAAGTGGCTTTTCTATACTTTTTCTGGTTTCGCTGTCTTCTTGCCATGGTAATATTATTACTTGACTTAGGTGGATTTTACCAGTCATAAAATACTGCTTTCTCATCTTTTTTAACTCAAAACCAGCTTTTCATGACACATAAATTAATATACAGTATGACATAATAACAAAGTAAATGCCAACGATGACAATTATGATTCAGCCTTCTAATGGACCCCAATTTGCTTCATCAGACTACTCAAGAAAGGAAGTTTGTAGCATATAATTATCTGCAACGAGAAGTACCTATGGATTACAGAAGTCAGAATTCACATTTATTGCACTGCTGCTGGATTCCTAGAAATGTAACAGACTGAGAGAAATTAAATGTCTGCTTTCTTCATTCTTTTCCATTCCCAAAATCAACTAAGGCAACAGCGGACATGTCTGAACTGTAGTAGAGTGCAGTGATGTGTAGAAATGGATGGAGGATGGATACAAGTTATATATTAATTTTATGCAAAATTAAGTAGTGTTAAACATGTTTATTTTTATGCATTTTAAATACCTTAACTAAGCTGCATAGAAATAGATGGATGGATACAACTTAGATATCAAATTTATACAAAACAAGGAACTCTTAAATATGTTTAATATTATTTCTTGCTTATTTCAAGTGTCTTAATTAAGCCAGTAACTTCAGTTGAAGAGACATAATCAATCAGTGTTTACAGTCCTCTAAATGCTTACAGTGCATACCAAGCCTTTAATTCTTCCCTGAAAATTTCATGAGAGCACAATGAGAATAAGATAACAGGAGCATGAAGAAAACTAAGATTTAGGACTAGTACATATATTCTTTATTGTATTTGTATTGCAGTTTACCTGGGATGAAAATGTACAGACAAGGAAGTCTGCCTGAGACAAAAAGTGAATATCCAGAATAACACCTCTTAGGGAATTTTCAGTGTATCGGTTATGAAGTCCTGCTGACCAGGATATGGAGTTATCACTGATAAATTCGTAATTTGGATACCTGTGAAAATACAGCACACTGTTAACACCAAAGTCTTATTTTATTTTTTTTAATTTTTATTTTTATTTTTTAAGAAGTATCATCTTTGCTGCAAGATAAGGTTGTTAATTCGTTTCAAGTGAGTCTCTGCTTTACAGGGAATTAATTAAAAGTTTTCTGAACATTCTACATTATTACAGCTGTCTCCAAGCATACCCCTTCTTTATCCAGAAAATAAATAAATAGATTTCAAAAAGATACTGTAAGTCTGCCTGAGATCTGGAACTGCAAAAGAAGTGAAAAAATAACTATACACCACATTCTCCTAATGCTGCTAATTTTAGATTAAATATACTCAGGTCACATCACTTTCTCTACTTCTAAATACAGTATGGGATTGTGTCTAGACTACATTTGGTTTATTACCATACTCTCTATTAGCTACTGATTATGACAGTGTGCAAGTCACCTGTAAAAGGTACATATTAAATAAACGAATCCAAACTAACAAAACAATGAATGAGACTTTCATCTGGAAGCCTTTCATTGCAGCCACATGGAGAAAAAGTTTTGTAATTTACTGGTGAAAATGAAGTAACAGAAATGTAAAATTTCATGTCAATACACTCTTCCTGACATATCAAACAAAAGAGTAATACTTTAAGTCCAAATATTTTTATTTGAAATATAAAACATTTTAAAATATTATTTTTAAAAAGAAATTAAACTTTTTAAACATGAAACAATGGGTTTGAAAGAAAAAAAAAAATCTTTTTACAAAATGTTTGAAGAGTGATATTTCTCAAACCATTTGTAGCCCTGTACTGGGGAACTGAAATCTGAAATAAATTGCAAAAAGCAGCATGCATTAATTAAATTTCCAGGCAGCCTCCCACCAAAAAAAAAAAGTTTTGTATTAATAATTCCAAGTAGATGTAACAAAGATGATAATTACATTGCTGTTACACAATAATAAAATTTCAATCATGAAATGCAACACGTGACTAACCTATGAACTATTTCAACTGAAGGGACAATTATTAAATAATTTTAATAAAAACTATTTTTTTCAAATTTACAACTTCATAGCAATTATAAAGCAATATGTTACGTAAGATAGTAAGGCAGCTAATATTACATTTGTAAGAATTAATCATTCTTATACTGTTCAGTAAAGAAAGTCAGAATACAGAGCAGGCTGTAACACTGAAGCAACAATAACTTAGACCTGTAACTAGATGCTTCAAAGCCTGACAGTCCTGTGCCGAACATTGCTCAAAATAAGGTTTACATTCAGGAGTTCTTGAAGTTAGCAGACACTTGTATATAGCAACGCAGCAAGTGCATACACCCTGGAGACACGGTACACATAATTACAAACCCTTGTAAGAATATTCTTAATTTATTCTATTTTAAAACTAAGTGAAAACCATTTTAAAAAATGAAATGGGCAAATATAACAGGCTTTTCCATCTAACATTCATTAGCTGTGACTATCAAATCAGGAAATTTCTCTCAAGAAATCAAAAAACCGTATGTAAAACTTCCCCCTTTGAGAAAGAATTTTAATTTATCTTCATAGTGGTTTTAATAGAACTTTATGTTCCCAAGAGAAACGCTTGCTCTAACAAAAAAATAATGTATGTACGGTAAATTTCCCAGAGATAGCATGACAACTTTAAAGGGTGCATCTGAAAATGAATGTCAGGGGAAGTTCATGTTACATTAAAAATATTCAAAACAAAACAAGAAGGAAGAGGAGGTTAAATTATTATTCATTTGGAATAACTGATAAGACCTCTTCTGAGAAATTGTAGAAGCCTATGGATCAAGGAATAGTTTTTCAAGATGAACTCTATCACAGTTAAAATTTCCTTTCTTATCTTCTCATGTCTAACATTTTTTGTCAATATTTAACCAGCTTTCAAAATACAACAGATCACAACACAATATTTTTTGACACATTCTGTTTCTGCTTCCACTGAGTTAATCATGTTAGTATTTTTTTTAAAAGAAAAAATTACAGACCGAACTAAGTATCTCATACACTACTGTAAAAACTAGCTGAGAAACACAGATGGGTATCAGTCTCATTTCAGTGACACAACTCCCAGGGGAGCAAATGAAGAACATTTAACAGAAAATGTCATTTCTAGGGACAGTGAACTCAGTAAAGATATTTGCACACCCTTTTGCATGTTCTTGGAATCGGGAATACTGTTAAAATTAATCACTTCCTTCAGACTCCAAAAATCAGAATCCACATGCTGAGTAGAGACAAAAGAATCTTTTTTGAAAAATCTGATTTCTTACAAGCAATAGATCAGTCTAATAACTTCAGAAAGGAAGCACAAAAAAAAAAGGTGTCATATTGGATCTCTTAAAAAAAAATCAGAATTATTTACACATACATTTAAAATTTTCTTCTTCTTCCCTTCATTCTGGAAACAGTCTTTGAGATTCTTTTAGATCTGTTCTTCAGTTCTATTTTGTAAAGTCGATCGAAATTCACCTAACCAACAGTTTCAGAACCAGTCATCCAAGCTCAGCATTTACCTACTCACATGTAGTGATGTTTTCAGACAAGCACTTTGATGTTGTCCCACACACAATCCGTACTCATGCTTGGGAAAAGAGGTTTCTTTTAAACACCCTAAAATGGGATTATAATAGCAGCCATACTCAGTGTGACCAATGAATCCTCTAGGCCACCATTCCTGTCTCCAGCACAGGCTGACAGCAGAGCATAAAGACAAATCAGTAAAAGGCCAAGCCCATACTCCTCTCAGGCTCAGCCTTATGTGGCCCATTGACTTCCTGCATCACATGAAGTTTAATTCTCCTTCCCACTCACTACAGTGCTTTTGATTCTATTTAAAGCTGTTCTTAACACAATGACTACAAAGAATAAAGGAAGTGAAACTTCTAAAGCTCTATAGTTAGCTCCTGCTTCCTGCTATATTCCCTTTTCTGGCTGTATTTAATTATGACTAATGTAATACTGACATTGTAAGCTTTCGGAGATTTTTTTTTTCTTTTTAAGCAGAACTCATGCACGATCCTATTACTAGGATTCCTGAATGTATGGTAATTGAATAAATAATGGGATGTCATATTCTTACTGCCAGAATCACCTAAATACAGTATTCTGTAGGATCCTTCTTAGGTTTTTTCTAGAAATTATGCACACATTCTCTTCTCTAAAACTGAAAATGACCAGACTGTGAAAATAAAATGAAAGAATGGAAACTGGCATAATACTGTTTTCTCTGTATCAGACAGAATACATATATGTAGTTTCTCTCCTCCACATATCTAAAAATAATATCAAATTCTTCTAAAGTAAACTAATAGAGTCTTGAAACCTATACACAGGCCATATAGGATTTCTTTTTTTCCTAGGAAAAGGGGAAAAGAAGAAATGAGAAGAAGGTATGCAAGCGAGTTTAAAATCCTTCCTTCCTGCACCTAGCAGCTTCAGATAAGGGTACAAACCAAGAACAGTTAAGAGACTAGTTCCAATTGGTTTCAGCAGCTGATCAACTAGTTGTGTAACAGTAGCTTATCACTACGCTGTGCAGCAGCTGCAAACCAAGGTGAGTCCCAGGCTCCTGTTCTCCATTCGATAGGACTGGGGAAGTGTCCAGAACAGGCAGTGCAGGTTTTCTTCACTCTGAAAGTGTGTGAGCACGTGTGTAAACAGATGGAGTAAGAAATAATGTATTCGTTTAGGTCTTGCCCTAAAAGGAACTGGAAAATGTACCAGCTGCTCATGAGACTCAACAACTTCAAAGCACTACTGAATTCTATATATCAGGCATATGACTCAGGGGTGAGGAAGGTTGCAACAGATAGTAGACAGGGAGAAAATACAGTAACTTGCTATTGAGGAAGTAAATAAACTGTGAAATAGGATGGGGAAAAAAGTTTTCCTAAGTACAGAAAAAACACACTCATGAGGGAGGCGAATTACAGAGAAAAAAAAAGAAGGGGGTCAAAAAGCAAAACACAGATGACTTTACAGGTAAACTTTCTTCCTAAAAGGAAGACAGAAATTTGTTAAATTTTAGTGCTTATATGTATATGAGAAAGAGACCTCAATAAACTCATAAATAAACCAGAAATGTATTAAAAATTATTTTTAAAGAATTTATGTGCATGTTCACTGCATTATTTTGAATACCTTAGAGATGATGTAAATAATATTATAGACTAAAAATACACATACTAGGAATTTAAAAGTTTGTATGTGAAAACTATCAAATCAGCCAAAGAACAAGCAATTTACAGTCTCCCTAATATCTCTTACCCAAGACAAATACCATGACCTCTGCTTAGTAGCTGTCAAGTGCTTTAATCCCATAATCACTGCAGCTGTTGAACTCTCAACAATGTTCTTCTCTAATCACGTTGTTCTGTATCATCTAATCCTGAAAATATATCATGACTGTGAAAATACTTCTCCCAACAGAAACAACATGCCTAGTCATAAGAATGTTGGCTAAATTTTCATTATTTAAATGCCAATGTTGTTTGGCAGCCAATCACTCTCATGTAAAGAGAGCTATAACATCTAGTACTTACTGATATTACTGCGTACAGTAACAAATGCAACATAACCTACTGCAGTACAATGTGACAGCTGTTTCTATCAAAGCTTGGTAATTCACCGTGACTAGAACTCTTTTCTCAGAAGTGTAAACTAATGTGTAGTTTTCTTCATAAGATGGGTAAGAAAAGGTTCTTTATTCCCAAAGCTTGACCTTAACCTGCCCTCAGATGCCCTTAACTGCTGAAACATCGAATTGCATTGTCTTATATGAAATCACAGGACGTTTCAAATTACTTCTACCTGACTGCAAGCAACAGTAGAGTGCAAGCAACTTAGGAAATCATGTTTCAGTGTAACCTATGGCCTGAAAACTCAGCAGCAACACAAAAAAAAATCTTCATTACTTACAGACTCTATGGCTTTTAATAAGAAAACATACAAAATGAATGCTGTACTAATGAGCTGTATCTTACCACATTTCAATAAAAGTGTGATTTGGAAAGTACCTTGAACTGCCTCAGAAACTATAAAGCTTTAAAAAATTCAGTATTTTTTTACTGAGCAAGTTACAATTCTACTATTCGTTTTTGTTGCTATTGAAAACTTGGGATCATGTATTTACATATGTAGTGCATCTCATTATTATTCACAAAGATAAAGTGTATGGTGCTAAGGGTTGAAAGTTGAACACAAAAAAAGCTGCATAACTAAGATTGTTATAACAATATTAAATTCTGTTATGTAACAAACAGTAATTAAAGTTATTTAGGACAATGCAATTAATTAAATACTGTAACCTCAATTTCGCATTACCTGTCTTTTCATTGTTCATATTTGCACTTTAAATGTTATGTTATCATAATTGTCTCTGCTAATGTTCTTGTCTCTATATATACAAAAAATAGAAGGATTAGATTGCCATCATCTGGAGTTGTGTACGTTCATTTAGTTTTTTCAAAACTCCATGATTTTAAAGAGCAGCCCCTTATAGATACGAAAGAAAAATAGAAATAGCATAATTGAGACACAAAGGTTTGCAATGCTGTACAAAATTCCTCTACTACAAAATAACATTTTCTGCTTACCTTGTATATGCCAAATAAAATTTGTAATCCAGCATATTATCTTATATATTTTTCCAAGCATGTCTACTGAGTATAAAAGAGTTCAAAATTTGCCCTTTTTGAGTCACTTTGATTTTAAAAAGTATTACTTTCCTTGATTAAATGAAAAATAAATATTCTTCTGCTCAAGTAAGAAAAAACTTTGGAAACAGGAATAGGTGCTATTCAGTAGACAGAAAAATAAACAGTCCTCAAAAGGAAAACATGTTAACTTGTACTTGGTAATGGATATGCTTACATTCAATTCATCTGGAATAGTTATCCAAGTTTTCATAGCCATGGCAATAAGCATTTGTGAAATTGCTGATACAACATAAACACCATAACACAAGAAAGATAAAGTTAAATATGGAAAATTATTCTTCCATATGCAGCTGCTTTCCTTTACTAAACAGAAGGTTTCTCCATCTCAGTTGCAAAACATGCAACTTAATAATGAGTTTTTAAGGGAAAACAAAGGTCATCTTAGGAGTAAATGGATGAATACTGTACATATCAAGGTTTGAACAGTTATATTTTCTATGACAGGCTGGCATATCCTATAGCTATGCTATGGTAAGTTGTTACACCGTTTTTTTGGAGAGCTGGAAGAGGACAAAAAGGAAAAAGGAACAGAGACATCGTTACAGATCGAGAATCCCACATATATTTACGGACAAATTTCAAAATTATTCAACATGTAGGGTGAATGTCGTTTAAGTTCTCAGTGCAGAAATCTTTCTGAAAGAATCAACAGAAGCTTTTCAATCAACTTATAAAAATTTCTCTGGCAACTATTCACAGAAAGGTTTTGTTTGGACATGAAAATTCTTAATACATTAACTAGTTTTTACAAGATTTCTGAATGGTTTATTTTTAATATGTATATATGATAAGAATTTTGGTGTATTTCTTATCTATATTTTTACTTCCCTTTTACAGCATTCATTTGTTTTTAAATAGTCACAGTATCTTGCTCAACTCATAGATTTTTAATATTAAGCTTTGAAAAGCATATAAATAATCAAAAAAATGAAGGTCTGAGAGAAAAATCAAAAACACTAGAAGCTGAAATGCAATCTTAAGTGTATAAATGACATAAAAAAAATTGTAATAAGATTTGTGTGCACACAAGTCAGAAATTGTGAAGTTAACCAGAACAAACTGTAAGATAAACATAATTCATCTTACTTGGATTTTGCCTCTTGCAACAATGAAGGGTCATCTGTAGCCAAATAAACTCTTTTTTTATCAACATGCATTCTGCGAGCAAGAAGTTCAAACCGCTCTAAAATTCAATGGGATGAAATGCTGCTTCTGTTCCTACTTTGTCTGTCCTTCTCACATGAACACTGGAAAAAAGCAGAAACTAGGAATTCAATTTATAAATACATCACATACTTTAGCAACTAATATTTTAACTTTAAATTTCATGCTTGTGCTTTTAGAATGCATATTAAATTGAATCCCTACTAAAACAAAGAAGGAAGGTTTAAAACTCATTGATGTCCATCAAGACACACGGACAACATGAAATTAGCTGTCAGTCTGTTCTTGAAAGCAATATAATAATCTTGCAAGGAAGGCAAACAAAGAAAAGAATGAAGGAGATGTAATTATAGCATACCAGGTATTCCTTCTGTGCAGAAGTTTAAGTTGCCTACTGTAGTTAGATAACACTTGATCAATACAGTTCAAAAGCAAATTAGGAATATTTGCATCATGGATATATTGGGACACAGACTACAGTGCAGGGTTTGAATGAGGGTAGTTAAAAATGCATCTTCCCCATCTGCTTGAAACCTAACAAGTCTTCAGATCCACCAGTGGTGAAGTGGCCTACCAATTCAACGGTCAAAAGCCAACTAATGTTTGGACACACCTATTGTGTCCTCCTACAAAAAGAAAGATTAAAGATTCAAGGAAAATTCTGGCCAATAAAGGAGTATTTGCAGACTCTCCTACAGCAGCAGCAAAATTTTTCACATTACATGGCAAAAAAACCCCTTTCTGCCACAAGCTGCTCTTAATTACTCATAGGTGCTTTCCTTCCATCTCCCCACACAGACCTTTCCATTTCATAGTTACTGCTAAGAAAGAACAACAGTGAAACCTCAGCAGGA